CCCCACAAAACCACTTTTATCAGGGTGTGGGAGTGCCCAAAGCCCCTTAAACCCACCTAGTCCAGGGTCAGGAGTGCCCAGACCCCCACAAACCCACCTACTCCAGGGTGAGGAGTACCCAAAGCCCCACAAACCCACCCTCACCAGGGTGAGGGAGTGCTCAGACCCCCATAATCCCACCCTCAGCAGTGTCACAGGGTGCCCAGACCCCCACAAACCCACTTTTATCAGGGTGAGGGGGTGCCCAAAGCCCCTTAAACCGATCTACTCCAGGGGCAGGGAGTGCCCAGACATCTACAAACCCACTCTCATCAGGGTCAGGAGTGCCCAGACCCCCACAAACCCACCCTCACCAGTGTCACAGGGTGCCCAGACCCCCACAAACCCACTTTTATCAGGGTGAGGGAGTGCCCAAAGCCCCTTAAACTGATCTACTCCAGGGTCAGGAGTGCCCAAACCCCCACAAACCCACCCTCACCAGTGTCACAGGGTGCCCAGATCCCCACAAAACCACTTTTATCAGGGTGAGGGTGTGCTTGGCCCCCTAAACCCACCTCCTCCAGGCTCAGGAGTGCCCAAAGCTCCGTAAACCCACTTTTCCACAGGGTCAGGGGTGGGCAGGGGGTTCCTGGCCCGCCTTGCACCCACCTTCACCAGGCTCAGGTACTCCACAGCAGCCGCCCGCAGTGCCGGGGACCATTTCCTCACTGCATCGTCGCACACCCAGCAGTGCACACCCCTCCGGCCCGAGTACACCCACAGGCGGTGCCGCACGCCCAGGTCCTCTGCGGGGGGCACAGATGGGTTTTGGGGGGCACAGGGGCCATATGGGGACAGGCTGTGGCGACCACCCAAAGCTGATGGTGCCACAAATCTGCCTGTCCGGCATCGCCGCGGGGCCGAGCGTGTCTCGCGAGCCCCTCACCCACGAGCGCGCGGTCAATGATGCGGACGGCGATGGTCATCAGCGTCCAGCACTTGGAGCAGATATCGGCCGAGCTGGGGGCAGAGTGAGGGGGGTCAGGTGGACACTCCACATCCCCAAACCTCCCTCCCAGCCCAGAGCCCCCCCGGGAACCTGCAGCACGTCCGGACATCATCATAATCTGTCATGTCGATGTCAAAGACCAGCTCCTTCTCCTGCGGCTGGAAGGCTCCCAGGTGCACCGTGTTGTGCTGGTTGGGCTGCACGAGGGATGGGATGGGCTCAGCGTGGCCAGGGACCCCTGCGGACCCCCGGTCACGGTGGCCGGGACTCACCCGGTGGGAATAGACGGCCCCGATGTCGATCTTGTAGGGGTTGATCTTCTGCAGCTCCCGCTCCAGCTCCTGGGGGCTGCCGAAGGACTGGAACCGCAGGTACACATCATCCCGCAGGGTGAAGGAGAATTCCCGCAGCTGGAAGTAGTTCTTCACCACTGCAGGGACGCGGGAGGGTCGGGGAATGCGGGGAGATCAATGCCTAATCCCCCTAAATCCCCCCATTACAGTCACCCCCAGGCTCCGCTTCCTGCTCCTCCCGGTGTCCCGGTCAGAGCATCCACCCACCGCCGGCCCCGGTACCCCAACGTGCTCCGGGACACGGGATCGCGGTGTTCCCGCCCGGTATCGATGCCCCCCGCCCGGTATCGATGCCCCCCGCCCGGTATCGATGCCCACCGCTCGGTATCGCCACCCCCGACGGCTCCCCCAGCCACTATCGGTGCGTCTCCTCCAGTATCGTGACCCGGACTGTTCTCCCGGCCCGGTATCGTTGTCCCCGATGGTGTCCCTGGCTACACCCCCGGCCCAGTATCGGTGCCCCAGTTCGGTATCGATGCCCCCATCCGGTATCACGGTCCCCGGCGGAACCCCCCCGCCCGGTACCGGTTCCCCGCTCACCGCCGCCGTAGCTGAGCCAGCGGCCGTAGGGGCCGTGCGGGAAGAGCCGCCGGTAGAAGACCGGGAGCAGCTCGGGCAGCGCCGCCGGCTCGAACCGCGCCATGGCGGGAGCGGAGCGGCGGGAGGCGGCGGGAAGCGGCGGAGGCGGCCCGGGGGCCGCCGGGAGATGTAGTCCGGCCCCGAGCCCCGGGGCACGGGGGGCACCGGGGGGCGGGGATGCGCCGCTCGGGGGGAGTGGGAGGAGAGCGAAGCACCGCAGCGGTCCCGGGAAGGAGGGGAGGGGATGCCCCGGGGTCCGCAAGGTCCCGGGTCGGGGGTCGTGGGGTGGTCCTGGAGCGCGGAGGTCCGAGGGGTCCCGGGACCGGGGAGGTCCCCGGATGCGGGAGGGTGGCGGGGTGCTGAGGTCCGGGGATGTGCCGGGGTCCGAGGGGGTCCCGAGGCGGGTGGGAGCCGGGGCGCTGAGGTTGGGGGGATTTCGGGGTCCCGCAGTGTCCCGGGGCGGGTGGGTCCGGGAGCTCTGAGGTCCCGGGATGTCCCGGTGTCCGGGGGTGTCCCGAGATCCGGAGAGGTCCGGGGGCACGGGTGTCCAGGGGGTGTCCCGGGGTCCAAGGGGGTCCCAGAAGGGGCTGTCAGGAATTGTCCCGGGGTCCGGGTGGGTCTCCGGGCGCGCGGTCCTGGTTGTCCCGGGGTCCGGTAGACCCTGGGCTGCTGAGGTCCGGGGAGATGCCGGGTTCCGGGGTGGTCCCAGCATCTGGGAGAGTCCCGGGGCAGCCTCGTGGGGCGGGGGGGGCTCGGGGATGTTCCGGGCTCCGGGGTGGTCCCGGGGTCCCGTGGCTCCCCGGGAGGGCAGCGCAGCCGTGCGGGAACTCCCGGGCGCTGCCCCGCTCCCGTTAACTCTTCTCCGCAAGAGCGGCGGGAGCGAAGCCTCGGGACACATCCCGGGGCACTGCCCGCAGCCCGGCGGGCTCCAGGCGGCAGCACCGGGACGAGCCCCTTAAGAGGACGGGGCGGAGCCGATCCCGCATCCCGGTAGTGCCGGGAGGCCCAGCGGCATCTCCGCGATCGTTGCCCCGGAGTCCGGTAATCAATTATTAACAGAGGCCGGCTGACAAGACCAAGGTCGGGACAAGCCGCTCCTGGTCGCTCCCCAGTTCCCCATCCCGGAGCCGCTGCCGAGGATGTGGCTGTACGCGGTGGCGGTGCTGCTGGGGCTGTTCCTGCTGCGGCGATGGCACCGGGAGCGGCAGACGGTGCCGCGGCTCTCGGAGAAGCACGTGCTGATCACAGGATGTGACAGCGGCTTCGGGAACCTGCTGGCACGGCAGCTGGACGCGCGCGGGCTGCGGGTGCTGGCCGCCTGCCTGACCGACAGCGGGGCCGCGCAGCTGCGGGCGGCCACCTCCGACCGGCTCCAGACCGTCCTGCTGGATGTCACCTCCAGCAAGAGCATCGCCGATGTCACCGCCTGGGTCCGGGAGCGTGTGGGTGATCAAGGTAGGACGGGGCGGCCGCACTGCTGTCACCCTGTTGTCACCCCACCGGTCATGCTTCCACCTCGCCCACCTGTGCCTGCACAGGCGAGGTGGTGCAGGGCCCTGGGACAGCCCCAGCTCATGCCATCCCCTCTCCAGGGCTCTGGGGGCTGGTGAACAACGCAGGGATCGCCATCCCCACCGGCCCAAACGAGTGGCTGACCAAGCAGGACTTTGTCAAAGTGCTGGATGTCAACTTGATCGGGGTCGTGGAGGTGACACTGAGCCTCCTGCCGCTGCTGCGGCGGGCGCGGGGCCGCGTGGTCAACGTGGCCAGCGTGATGGGCCGTGTGTCCTTCTTTGGTGGTGGGTACTGCATCTCCAAGTACGGCGTGGAGGCTTTCTCTGACAGCCTCAGGTAAGTCTGACACAACAAATTCCATCCTGATTTCCCAATTTGTTTTTCTGGACTTTGTTTGGCACAGTTGTCAACTCCCATCCTCACGTAACTGAGCACAGGTTAAACTCCTATCTGCTGCTGAGGTGTGAACAGCTCCTTTACTGGCATGGAGCCTCCCCTGTGGACATTGCCCCTGCCCAAGACCCTGCAGGATGTGGCCCCTCTATCCCAAGCTTTGCTTTGTTCCCAGCCCATCCAGATGTGGCAGATGTTTACTGACACACTGTCTCAGCCATGTGCCAGGCTGGCTCAGAGTTCACTGGCGTGGTCAGGCTCCTTCCCACGCTTCTGGCACGAGGCTGCATCCCATGGGAGATGTGGTGCTGCTCTGGTGCTGCTCCCATGTTCCAAAGGATTGAATCCCTTCCAGGCTTGAGATGAACAAGTTCGGGGTGAAGGTCTGTGTGATTGAGCCGGGCTACTTCAAAACAATGATCACCAACACTGACAACCTGGAGAAGAATTTTCATTCCATCTGGAATAAGCTTCCAGAGGAAATCAAAGCGAGTTACGGGGAGAATTACTTGAGGAGGCGTAAGTACCTCCCTCAAAGGCTGAGTGATCCTCTTTCTCTCCTGACACAGGGCACATCCCCAGGGCCACGAGGCTCCCATGGGGGTTCCCGGTGCTCCAAAATCCCATGGAGCCACTTGGCTCTGCTCAGCTCCAGGGTCTCAGTGGCATTTTCTGCCTCTGCAGTTGTGTCAACGCTCAAGGTGCTGGAGAAGACCTACAACACCGACCTGTCACTGGTCACCAACTGCATGGAGCACGCTCTGACCAGCCTCCATCCCCGCTACCGCTACTCCGCCGGCTGGGACGCCAAGCTGCTCTACCTCCCCATCAGCTACCTGCCCTCAGCCCTCAGCGATGCCTTGTTCAGCCTGTTCTACCCCAAATCTGTTGGGAAAGCCTAAGGTGGGGATGCAGCAGGCAGCCAAGAGCAGAGTGGGATCCAATGGCACACGGTGGGATCCAGAATCGGCTGCAGCCAAGGCCACACCGAAGTCCCTGAATTTGTAACTGCATGTACGTCTGACCCTCTGTCCCCTGCTCATGATGGGTTTGTCCTGAATAAAGACCCCCTGTCCCCTCCTGGCTGAGCTTGGTGTCACTCTCAGGCTGTGGCACCAAGGCTGTGCCTGGAGGCTCTGGCTGTTCCCCTGAGCACCTGCTGTGCTCAGGATTCAGCCCCTGATAAGTTGCCACGGGACTTGCCCAGACTGGCACCCCAGGTATTGACACACAAGTAAAATTCAGACCTGTTCCGACTTGCGCAGATTTCCCTCTAGGCAAAGAACCGAGCAGCCTCTTATACAATCCTCCTCCTCTGCTTCCTCTTCCTCCTCCTCCTCCAGACCTGGCTGTGGGAGGCTGTCCTGCTTCATCACCACATTTGGGGACACCGTCCCCCACCAACACTGGGTGAGAGGGAAAGGTCCAGGGCTGGTGCTGCTGACGGTGTCTGCAGGGTTCCACCAAATCCAGCTCCATAGGGCATGGGGATCCACCTGCTAAGGGCACAGCAGAGGCCCAGGCACAGGGAGTGATGCAAAGCAAAGCCGGGGATTACAAAAATTAAAATCCAGGAGGACAAAATTCACCCCGGGTGCTGCCGCAATCCTGGCTCTATAAATGCGGCCCGAGCGCGGCTGGCACGGGTGGAGCCGCTGCCGAGGATGTGGCTGTACGCGGTGGCGGTGCTGCTGGGGCTGTTCCTGCTGCGGCGATGGCACCGGGAGCGGCAGACGGTGCCGCGGCTCTCGGAGAAGCACGTGCTGATCACAGGATGTGACAGCGGCTTCGGGAACCTGCTGGCACGGCAGCTGGACGCGCGCGGGCTGCGGGTGCTGGCCGCCTGCCTGACCGACAGCGGGGCCGCGCAGCTGCGGGCGGCCACCTCCGACCGGCTCCAGACCGTCCTGCTGGATGTCACCTCCAGCAAGAGCATCGCCGATGTCACCGCCTGGGTCCGGGAGCGTGTGGGTGATCAAGGTAGGACGGGGCGGCCGCACTGTTGTCACCCTGTTGTCACCCCACCGGTCATGCTTCCACCTCGCCCACCTGTGCCTGCACAGGCGAGGTGGTGCAGGGCCCTGGGACAGCCCCAGCTCATGCCATCCCCTCTCCAGGGCTCTGGGGGCTGGTGAACAACGCAGGGATCGTCATCCCCACCGGCCCAAACGAGTGGCTGACCAAGCAGGACTTTGTCAAAGTGCTGGATGTCAACTTGATCGGGGTCGTGGAGGTGACACTGAGCCTCCTGCCGCTGCTGCGGCGGGCGCGGGGCCGCGTGGTCAACGTGGCCAGCGTGATGGGCCGTGTGTCCTTCTTCGGTGGTGGGTACTGCATCTCCAAGTACGGCGTGGAGGCTTTCTCTGACAGCCTCAGGTACGGCACTGGCAGCCCCCGGAGCTCTCCCCAGTGCTCGTCCAGCAGCCCCGGCGTTACCCCGCTGTCCTCACACAGGGTTTTATGCATCTCCCCGTCACATTTTCCCCAGAGACCTTGAGAAACACTGAGCACAAGCGGGCTGGGAGCGTGGGCAGGGCTGGAGCCGTGGGTGTGCAACCAGGGGAAGGGTTTCAAGGAGCTCTGGAGCAAAGCACTAGAGGGATCCTGGGGCAGGGGGGATGGATTGGTCTGGGTGGTCCTGGGGTTCCAGGGTGTCCCAGGGTGTGGGGTTTAGGAGTCCAGGGGAGTCCTGGGGCGCTGAGATTGGGGGAGGCCCCAGGATCCGGGAATGCTCTGGGGTCTCAGGTGGTCCCGAGGCACTGAGGTTCAGGGGGATTCCAGGATTCCGGGTTCCAGATGGGTCCTGGAGCGCTGAGGTCTGGGGATGTCTCGGGATGCAAGAGGGTCCCTGGAGCAAGGACAAGGCTCCCCTGCTCCCATGAGGGGATGCCTGGGGGTGTCACGAGTTCCCCTCACTCCCCCCCGGTCTCTGCCCTCCTCGGGGCTCCCCCTGACGCCCCCACCTTGGGCAGGCGGGAGATGCGTCCCTTCGGGGTGCAGGTCTCCATCATCGAACCTGGAGGCTTCCAGACGGGAATTACCGACCCCGCATCGCTGGAAAAGGTCTTCTTTCACCTCTGGGAGCGGCTCCCGGCAGAAACCCAGGCAGCCTACGGCCACCACTACCCGGACAAATGTGAGTCCATCCCCACACCTCACCATCACCCCTGGTGACCCCAGCTCCATGGGGCTGACCCCTTTCTGCCCACCCAGATGCCAAGAGCACCACGATGCTTGCACGCCTGAGCAGCTCGCGGCTGTCGCGTGTCACCGATGCCATGACACACGCGCTGCTCTCCCGCTGCCCCCGCAGCCGCTACGCCGCCGGCTGGGATGCCCGGCTCATCTTCCTGCCCCTCAGCTACTGCCCGGCCTGGCTGTCCGACACCATCGTTGGCTTCTTCCTGCCCATCCCGGCCAACGGGACCCCCTGATGGGGACCACCAGGGCGGGGACATGGACAGGGTGGGTCCGTGGGTGCCTCACGCCCTTGAGAAGTGCTCAATAAAAGTGGTGCAATGCTGGGTCTCCGGCCTCGGAGGTGTCTGGTGGCCACTTGCTGGTGACCCATCCCACCGAGGGGTCCCGTGGCAGCATCCCGGCTGCTGCCTGCTCCCAGAGCAGCCGCGTATCCCGGGATCCCCCGGCTCGGCTGGCAGGGAACGAGCTGGGAAAGGCAGAGCGGAATTTATCCATCCTCTGGGCACGGCGTACCCAGGGATGGCCCGGCTGAGCTGCCAGGCAACTGGGAAAAGCCGCGCGGTGTTTATCCATCCCCTGGGCTCGTGGGCGGTGATCCCTGCGTCACTCATGGAGCTAATTAAGAGCTGATTAGCGATCACTAGCTGAGGGGCAGGCATCTGAGACTGTGCACTTGCCTGCGGGACCAGCTCAGCGCTAATGCAGCCCCCAGCTCTGGCAGAGGCCGAGCCAGGGACAGCTGGACCGCGACCCCCGAGATGCGACGGGGAGGGCGAGAGGGATGAGGAGTACCCGGGACATTGCACAAGCTGCGTTCAGCTCGCCGAGCTGCTTCCCCAGCCAAGGAGGCTTCTCCGAAGTGTTTTCTTTGGCTTAGAAAGAGCATAGAAAGAGCTTTCTTTGGCAACCCCGGCAGCCCCCGCACATCGCGTTAGGGGCCCGCGTGTCCCCAGGGGCCGGGATGAGGAGTGCCGAGCCCCCGGGAGCACTGCCCGAGGAGGGAAGAACAGCAGATCCCACCTCTCCTGACCCTGAGGGAGGCTGAGGGCTCCTGGGCACACATTTGGGGTGCTGAGAGCCTTCGGGCTCATTGCGGCAGGGATGGGCAGAAGGGGCTGAGCCGCCTGTCCCAAGCCCGCGGCTCAGCCGGCTTGGAAATACAACCGGCTCCCAGATCTCTCACTGTTCCCACCAAGATCAGCAGCCTCTGCACAATCCTTGACGGCTCCCAGATCCTCCTCGGCCCCAGAGTTCGGTGTGGAAATTCCCTGACCTGTTAAATCGAACCAGTAGAGCATTGCTTGCCCCAAATCCCCGCAAGCCCGCGGTGGCAGAGCGGCCCCTCACCGCCCCCACGGCCCCGGCTGAGCCAAAATGTGCCCGGAGCCAGCACGAAGCTGCTGAGTTCCTGTTTAGAAGCCGGTCCTGCCGGGGTTGGTACCTGCACACGGGGTCACCAGCTCTCGGCTTGTTGTTGTGAGCCCCGACTTATCAGTGCCCTTGTGCTTCCCCGCTCCCTGTGCCTTCCTTCCGAGCCAATTGTTGATCCCGCAGTCTTGTCCGCACTGAAAAAAAAGGAGATTTCCTGCAATTGTTTCGCAGGACTTGCAGCCCGATGCAAAATTTTTGCCTATCAGCCCCCTCCCCAGCTCCGGGGCAAGGCTTGAGCCCCCTCGCTTCCCCTGCCAGACCGCGGGGCAATCACGGCTCGGTGATTAATTACTGCCTGGCCAGAGGTGCTTCTCTGGCGACATCCATCTGCCATCTGCTCCTGCGGGAGCGCTGCCCGGGCAGAGCAGCTTTCAGCTCTCAGCCCTTTTCCCCCGAAGAGAACCCTGAGCTCACCCTGATATCGAGGTGGCATCGGGGACAGCTTTGGCAGCTTTGTTATAACCCACCCCAGCCCCTCAGGATTCCCAGTGCTGCGGCAGGACCTGGGATGTATTTTTCCTACAGAAGGATCCAGGCAGGATCCAGCCCCTGAGCCCAGTGGGGTGACAGTGGAGGGGGCGCTCGGGAAGCCTCGGGGACCCCCGTCCATCCCCAGGCATCACCTGCGGCTTCCACACCGACACCTGCCCGGAGCCTCGCGGCTCCCGTCCCCACCCTGCGGCGAAATCAAGTGGGAGCCGAGTTCTGGGGCTGGAAATCCAGTCAAATGTCACCCGCGCTGGGCTGTCTCAGGATGTTGCACCACGATGGTCATTTCCTGCCCAGCAAGCGGCCACCGAGCCCACCCGAGCTCCGTGCCCAGAGGCGCTTGAGCTGCCGAGCCCAGAGGATCCCCGCGCTCCCGAGCAGCCTCCGCGCAGCCCTCGCTCAGCCGCCGGTGAGCCAGGACCGTCCCTCCTCCCTCCTGTCCCTTCTCCTGTCCGTCTGTCCCCTTTACCAAGCGTCTGTCCCCTCTCCCATCCGTCCGTCCCTTCTCCCGTTTGTTTGTCCCTGGTCCTGTCCGCCTGTTCCTTCTTCTGTCCTTAACCATCCATCTGTCCCCTCTGCCGTGTCTCTGTCCCTTCTCCTGTCCATCTGTCCCCTCTGCCGTGTCTCTGTCCCTTCTCCTGTCCATCTGTCCCCTCTGCCGTGTCTCTGTCCCTTCTCCTGTCCATCTGTCCCCTCTGCCGTGTCTCTGTCCCTTCTCCTGTCCATCTGTCCCCTCTCCCGTCCATCTGTCCGGTTTTCCATCTGTCTCTCCCGGGTCCCCGCGGCTCTCAGGACCTGCAGCGCAGAGAGCTCGGGATGTCCAGGAGCCCTGGGGGCGGCAGGTCCAGACTCTCTCTGGTTTCGGGGCCGGTGTGTGTCAGCCTGGGTGGGTGCTACAGGCGTGACGCTCTCACGGGGGACACCCGGCTGTGGTCCCGGCTTGCCAGGCTCCGAGTGAAGCGGGAGGACCCCTCTGGGAGCTCGGCCTCCCGCAGCATTCCCAAGGGAACGGCTGCTCCTGAGCGCTTCCAGCAGCGCTGCTGGACGGGGTCCGCAGCGTCTTCGCTGTGCGGATGCAGCTGCGGTGGGATCGGAGCTCTCACTTAGGGCAATAAGAGGATGTTCAGGTCAACCGCATTTCCCTGAAATTTATAATTTTCTCACCTACTTGGACGTCCCGATGGCTCCCGGCAGAGTGAGAGCGGCTGGCAAGTGACCACACCCCGGGGGCTCGGGTGGGAGCGGCGGTTTTCCCGCTGGAGCTGAGTCTCTGGGACAGAGTCACCGGCACCTGGCTGTGTCCCAGGCTCTGGGACAGGGAGCAGCCGCCACATGTGGTGACCCTTGTTTGTGGCATTTATCTTGGGATGTGAGAGGATCACCTGGGTGGACACAGCATCTTTTGAGGGTTGATGTAGGGAGTCAACCAGGGAGTAAAACTTGGGTTAGAAGACCCCAGAAGGATCTTTTTGAGCCCCACACAAGGGCTCTGTGTTTCAGGCTTCACAGCTCAATGCTCTCCCTTTCCCTGCAGCCACCAGGATGACCGAGGTGACCACTGTCCCCATGGAGACACGCACTGTCCCGAGCGAGTATGCGGACTACCACAACTTCTCTGAGCTGTTCTACCTCCTGAACCACACCTACACCTACTGTGAGTTCAGCCTGGATGAGAACGTCAAGAGGGTGATTCTCTTCATCCTCTACCTGGTCATCTTTGTGGTGGGCTTGGTGGAGAACCTCCTCGTTATCTGGGTCAACTGGCAGACCCGGGGCAACAAGAGCTTGGTCAACCTGTACATCATCAACATGGCCATCGCTGACCTCGGGGTGCTGCTCTCGCTGCCCATCTGGATGCTGGAGGTGATGCTGGATTACACCTGGCTCTGGGGCAGCTTCCTCTGCCGCTTCACCCACTACTTCTACTTTGCCAACATGTACGCCAGCATCTTCTTCCTCACCTGCCTGAGCGTGGATCGCTACGTGACCCTGAGCAGCTCCTCTCCGTTCTGGCACCGGCACCAGCACCGCGCGCGCCGCGCGGTCTGCGCCTGCAGCTGGCTCCTGGCCGCCGCCATCCCCGTGGTGGAGGTGACTCACATGCAGCTGGTCAACACCGGGGAGCCCATCTGCATCTTCATGGCCCCCTTCGAGACCTACGACGAGTGGGCGCTGGCGGTCAGCTTGGCCACCACCACCATCGGCTTCCTCATCCCCTTCCCCGTCATGGCGGTGTTCAACGTGCTGACGGCGCGCTTCGTCCGGCGCACCAAGCCCGAGAGCCGCAAGCACTGCCTGCTCATCTACGCCTACATCGGGGTGTTCCTGCTCAGCTGGCTGCCCTTCCACGTGGTGCTGACGCTGCTCACCCTCGAGGGCAACCACATCATCCTGAACTGCACCTTCGCCCACCTCCTCTACTTCTTCTACGACGTCATAGACTGCTTCACGCTGCTCCACTGCGTCATCAACCCCATCCTCTACAACTTCCTCAGCAAGAACTTCCGCAGCAAACTCATCTCCGCCGTGGTCAAGTACATCCCAAAGGACCACGGTGGCCAGAAGGGCGCCGGCAGCTCTTCCTCCAGCACGCAGCACTCCATAGTCATCGCCAAGGACAACAGCCCTCCCAACTAAGGGGGGTCGGACTCTCCCAGCCTCCGTCGTGGTGGCTCTTTGGGGACAGTGGCATCGGTTTTCCTGTTGCTGAGGACACAATTTGCTCTGGCACGGCCCTTCTTGGCTGGGCACCTCCCGTGGCAGGATGAGGTGCGAGGTTTGAGGAGAGCTGGGAGCTATGGACATCTTGCCTCTGGGGTGCTGCTGTGTCCAAACTAAAGAAAGGATAAAATTATATTCCCTGTTTGACAAGTGAAATAATAAAGCCTGTTACTCCACTCAGTGTCTGACACGAGCCAGCCCCGAGATCAGATCAGATCCTGCCCCAAGCTGTGGGGTGGAGAGCATGATCTGCCCCATCTCAGGTGTTCCTGCATCCCCAAACTGTCCCTGACCCTCAGCCCCGGGCACGGCACTGCCTGGTGAGTGCCATCCCGAGTGAGAGAGAAGGAATCGTTCCTTTGGGACACAAACCTCCCCTCGCTGTGCCCAGCAACATCCAGAGCCTGATTTTTGAGAGATGAAGGCGAAGCAGCCCAAGGAGCTGAGCAGGACACAGACCTGAGGGGAGGAACAATTTGGATTCCACATCAGCCACTCCTTCAGAACAATTTTGCAAACCCAGTGGTAAATTAGCGATGGCTAAACTGGGTTTGACTGGCAAGGGCTGCTCCAGACTGACTCTGGGTTCCCCATCCTGTTAACTCCAGCCTCCTCTGGAGCATCCCCTGGCAGGTTTTTGTGGCCACTGGGTGCATTTCTCAACTCCATCAGGCTCCAACAGCCCCTTCCCCTTCCGCCAAAGCCCCTGTGGCAGCACAGGCACGTGCAGAAAACCTTGGAGCTGGAGCACGGGCTGGGCTTGTGCTGTGCAAGGAACTGGAGCATCCGGAGAAAGTTCATTCTTATCTGGATCCTGATCTGAGTCACGTGCTGCGGGCTGAGCCCTCGCTGGGGGAAGGTGACAGTGACAGGCACCGGAGCCCATAAATCTACCAAAGGCCTTGAGCTGCTCGAGGAACACGTCGTGGAAAAAGCAAAGCGTAAGCAGTTCTGGGGACAGGATGCTGGCACAGGGGGAGGGAGCAGGATGTCCCGGGAGAAGTCCATGACCAGGGGTTAAGATGGATACGGGGTTATCGTGGGGCTGGCTGGGAAAGCTCTGCCAGTTCCAGGGGTTCTTGATGGGGTAAAACCCTAAATGGTTGATGGGGTAAAACCTCCGGGTTCCTTCTGCAGGGATGTTCCTCTGTATCCTGGGACACGAGCACTGAGGGAGAAATCCAAATCCACGTCTTACACAGAAACCCAGGGAAGGCTCCAGCCCCTCCATCAGAATTCCCTGCTCAGGGCAGCAGCTCAGGCTTCCCCTTCCTCTGTTCCTCACACCTGTGAGTGCAGAACCAAGGGGCTTGCGAGACCCCAGAGATCTGCACCCTCTTCATTCCCTGATCCCAAATCCTCCCTTTGCTAATTCCCTCCCGTTTCCAATGGAGAAATGGATTATAAATACACAATCAGCCACACACCAGGGCAAAAACATATTCAAGACACTTAAACATGTAAAATTTGGTGTTTCACCTAATAAACTAAATTTTTAGCTGTCTTAATTTCTTTGTGCTTTTGTCCATAGACCTTAGGGCCAGAGTGGCCTCAAATAAACTGTCACCATGTGGTGACCTGGGCTGGAGCACCCTGTTCCCATGTTCTGCCACTTCCACGGGAATTTCTTCCTTGTGTCGAGGTGGAACTTCTCGTGGTTTCATTTTTGGCCGTTGCTCCTTGTCCTGCCACAGTGAAAATTCCGGCACCATCCTCTTGGCACCCACCTTTGAGGTACTGGATTGATGAGATCCCCTCTCAAATGAGATATTTATATGGATATCTGACATATTTTTGTAGATTGAAAGAATCCCCTCTCCGTCTCCTCATCTCCAGACTAATCATCATCCCACTCATCTCCTCATCACTGAGCTGCTCCAGACCCCTCAACACCATTTTGGCCTCTGCTGGACCCGCTCCAGTAAATCCTTGTCCTTGCTGAACTCAGTTCCAAGCCCATGCAGCTCCAGTTCAGCACAGGAAAGGCTCATCCAGGCACACAAACTCCAGGATTCCCAAAAGGACGGGCTCTGTTCCCACCCTGCTGCTGCACCCCTCGCTCCCTCCAATTCCTGTATCCCGCAGGAACGTCCCAACCTGTTCCCCTCCCAGTCCTGGAGCCACAAATCTGCTGGGAGCACGACACAGGGATGGCCTCAGCTGCTCCCCAGGCATTCCTGGGAGGAAAATGATTTATAAAGAAACAGCTACAAGAGGTCAATGTTTTCCATTTTATTATTCTAAATAAAAAACACACTTTGTGCTGAACAATGGAGTAGAAAAGAACCCGATGTACAACGATTTTAGACATCTACGATTTGGGGAGGAAAGTTTACAAAATATACAAAACTTTACAGCAAATAGATAGTAAACACTTAAATAGCAGGAGGTCAGTACCTACGATTAACTTAACAAAAAGGTTAGACAGCAAGTTCAACTCTTGTTTTTTTCTTCTGCTCAGTTACTCTGATGAGGGACCTGGATCCACTGAGGGAAAAGTGAATTTTGTGTTGGGGATGGGGGTGAGCCTGGGCTCAGAGCAGGGCCCTCAGAGGGGATTCCCTGTCCAGGCTCCCCAGGAGGCTCCGTGACCTGGACGCTGCCAGAAATTCCCCTCTGTAACTCCCTCTCCTACCCCAGGTTACCAAAGCACTTTGCAAACACCTCAGGCTGCCCCAGGGGAGGTAGGTCGGTGTCCCCACAGTCACCAAGGGCAGTGGGGACAGGAGAGAGCCAGGCTTGCCCATGGTGGTGGAAAAGGAACAAAATCCAGCACGGAGCGACTGCTCTGGCTCTCCCAGCGCTGAACTGGAGCTCCCAGCCAGGCTGGCCGGACATGGGGACAGGGATGACATCCCTGCCAACCCTGAAGGCTCAGGAACACCCAGAACCTCCCTGGGGGGAGCACTCAGGTCCCTGACCCCTCTGGGAATCACCCCCCAGGAGCAGCAGCAGCAGGTCCAGACCCACCCCTGCAGCCCCTCCACTGCTGATTTTGGGATGTTCCATGTGGGAATGATCCGTTTTAATCCAGGGAAACAGAAATTCCCTGCATCAGCAAGGGGGGAGCCCCTGCTTTCCCCCCAGGGCCAGGAGCGAGGGCTGGCTGTGCCTGTTGGTGTTTCGGTGTAAAAGCTTCTCTTTTTGGTTTATGTGCACAAAAGGCTTTTGCTTTTCAGCTTATTGAGATCCGGGGCTGCAGACCCTCCCTGAAGCTCACCATGGCTTCTGGAACATTCCAGGAGGGTCTCAAGGCTCTCCCAGCCTTGTCTATCCCTCACACCCTTCACAGCCACCTCCAGAGCAGTGCCCATCCCTGTCCCTGTCCCTGTCCCCAGCCTGCCATCAGCCAGGCACAGCCCTGAGTTCCGCTCCCGAGGGGACCCTGCACGAGCAGGGGGTGGGACTGGGATGGTCCCTTCCAGCCTCATCCATCCCACGATTCCAGACAGAAACCCTGGAACACAGAGAGCAGCTCAGAGGAGCCTGCAGCGAAGTGCCACCAGCTCCCACACTTCCCAGAGCACCACGCCATTCCCAAAATTACCCTTTCTCCTGTAAAACCTAACACAGCTCACCACAGCTCCACAGTGATGCCAGGACCACGAGGCCAGAGCTCAGAACTCAGAGCTACAGCAGCCAGGCAAACCCAGAGCAGACCCTGGCTCTGGTGCCTCCCCTCCTCCAAAGCCAGGCTCCAGGCCCCCTCCCCGCTCCCGGAGGTAGGTCGGTACCACGGGAGGTACCACCCTCATTTTACAGATGAGGAAACTGAGGCAAAGAGGTGAAGTGACTTGCCCAAGGCCACGGCGGAGCCAGAAGAGAGACCCCCGGGTGCTCTGAGCTCTCTGAGTCCAGCCCCACTGCAGGATGGCCCTTCCCGGGTGTCCCTTCCCGGGTGTCCCTTCCCAGGTGTCCCTTCCCAGGGAGGGGGCAGCGGGCTGAGTTTCCAGGGTTTGCAAATCACTAGTTTAGTTTAGTTTTGTTTTGTAACAGCAAAACTTGACAGAAGCGCAGGAGCCGATCCACGACCACCGAGGCTGGAGAGCCCCGAGCACTTCCTTGTTTGTGAGGTAGAATGAGTTACCCAAGGGCAGTCCCAGCTCAGAAATATCTGTTCCTCCCCACCTCTGCCCCACAGCAGGATAACACAGGGAGGAGCTAATCCACACCCTTCCCAGAGTTAATGCTGTTGGCACCAGCTGACCTCGCCAGGGTGGCCAGGAGAGACCCCCAGGAGTGGCCAGGAGAGCCCCCCATGCTGAGGTGGACCTGACATAGGGCCAAGAGAGAGATCCCTGTGCCCAGGAGAGCCTCCTGCACAAGGGGTACCGAAACATAGAGGGGGAGAGCCACTCATGGCCAGGAGAGCCCCCCACACCCAGGAGGGCCCCCAGGAGTGCCCAGCACGCAGCTGGAGAGGCCAAGCCATTGCCGTGGCTCCCAGTCCATGAACAAACTCACATCACTCCAAGCACACACATTTGCCGCCGGAACACGTCCGGGATGCGGCGATCCGGGGCGTGGGAGGGGGGATCCCTCTGGCAGGAGAAGGGTCCCTCCTCCTTCCAGGGAGTTAAGGCAACTGCTTCATCCTGACTCGTCTGCCCAGGGCACAGCGTGAGGCTGGGGCAGAGCGGAACCAGGAGACTCCTGGCTCTCCGTGGCCACCACAAATCCCCTCCCAGGGAGCAGGGACCTGCTTCCCTCCCTCTCCAGTCCTGCGGGAGATCCCCGTGCTCACGCAGCCACCTCCGCCCGGAGGTCGTGCGGCTCCTTCATCTCCTCCTCCGGCTCTCCAGGGCACGGCTGAGTCCCAGCCACGGCAGAGAAAACACGGCCTGGGAATCTGCAAATCCCCTGCTCCTGCTTCCCTGCTGGGATTCCTCCTTGTTTACACACTCAGGTGCTTGCTGCTCCTCTCCCCAGCAGCGCACGGTGATCCCAGAGCACACTTTGCCCGTCTCCTGGCAGTAGCAGCAGAACACCGAGGATGCCCAGAACGTCTTTTTTTTTTTTTTTTTTTTCCTTCCTTCTTTCCTTCTGTTTTGTTCCTTTCCTTCGAGTCCAGCACCTGCTCTGGCTCTGCCCCTCTCCACTGAGGTCAGGTGTGAAAATCTTAGCAGCATCAGTTTGTGGACAAGCTCAGGGGTAGCCTGGTCAAGTGGGCTAAAAGGTTCAAAAAAAAAACCCCAGAATCTAGACTCAAAAACTAGTGAGAAATGCTAAAAGCACAGAACTCGATGGCCTCTAACAGGACTAGAGGTAAGTAAACACGACAGACTCCTTGAAACAGTGATGTACCTCACGTGCTGTTAATTTGTACAACGCCACCAATCTAAAAAGCCCTAGGAAGGCCCCAAAAACCAAAAAAAAAAAAATAAAATTAAACCAAAACCAAAAAAGAATCCCATCCATGACGCCTGACCATTAAATAAAACAAAACTATTTTCCTTTTTTTCTTTTTTTTTTTTGTTTTCCTCCACAGCTTCCATCGTTAACACTCGCTCCTCCGCCGGCCCTGCCCCATCAGCTATCCGTGTTTTTCTCGGCCTCTTTGGAATGGATGATGTACATGAAAGTCTGTTCGATGGTGAAGTCCGGCGGGAGGCTGCCCTTGTGCACCCCTATGTGCTTGCTCATGAGGTTGAGCGTGGAGCTGTAGTGGCCACACACGGTGCAGCGATACATCAGGGCCCCCGAGTGCGTCCGCAGGTGGCACTTGATGGTGGAGCGCCCGCGGAAGAACTTGTGGCACACCTTGCACTGGTACGGCTTCTCCCCGGTGTGGATGCGCCGGTGGTAGTTGAACTCGCTGGTGTGGGCGAACCTCTTGCCGCACACCTTGCAGCTGTACTTGCTGTTCCCCGGCTGGCTCTGCAGCGCCAGCTCTTCGCTCAGGAACTCCTCGGGCAGTTTCCTCTTGGGCAGCCCCTGAGGCTGCAGGCGCTCCCCGAATCCCGCCCGGATGTCCAGGCTGCCCCCGCACTTGTGCTGGCTGACGTGGTAGCGATAGGCAGCTTCCAGCTTGAAGCTCTGGCTGCAGAAGTGGCACTGGAAAAGAGCCTCCTCCACGTGCTGGTGCACGGCCAGGTGCTTCTCCAGGAGCTGCCGGTCCACGAAGCTGCTGGCGCACACGGAGCAGGAGAAGACGGAGATGCCCAGGTGGGACAGGGTGTGCCACATCAGGCTGCAGAGGCTCAGGTGCCGCTGGTCGCACACGCCGCACGTTTGGCTCTTCAGGTTCACGTGCTCCAGCAGGTGGTTCCGGACCGTGTGGAAATCTTTGGCCAAGGGCTTCCCGCAGGCAGCGCAGGCCAGCTCAGGGCCGGGCCCTCCCCCAAACACGGCCACTTTCCCCGGCAGGGGGTCACTGGGGTGGACAATGACGTTGTTGTCGAAGACCCCGTCCCGCCGGTGCAGTGTCAGCTGCCACTGGGTGAAGAACTTGGTCTCGCACATGTCGCAGGAGAAGAGGAAGATGCCGATGTGGGACAGCACGTGAGTGACCCTGGAGTTGCGGTCCTGGAAGTGTGTCTCGCAGACTTTGCAGTTCCCGGTGAGCAGGTCGACGTGGTCCCTGGCGTGCTGGCGGATCAGCTGGATGTTGGGCTCCAGCACCTTCTTGCACACCTGGCAGGGCATGGCCTTGCTGTCCCGGCTGTCGCTCTCGAAGGCCAGCTCCTCCTCGCTGTCATCACTCAGCTCAATCACTTCCTCAGATGGGACCAGCTCTTCTCCAGCATCCTCAAAATGCAGCTCGGCCTCCCCCAAATCCTCCAGCTGGAGCTCATCCATCTGCTCGAATCCCTGCTCTTTGGAGTGGTCGCTGTTGCTGGGGCAAGAATTGCTCCCCGTGGAGACATCCAGGGAGGGGTCAGGGGGGAAGAAGCCGCCCTTGCTGTAGTCGCCGTTGCTCTGGGGCTTGTACTGAGGGCAGGAGCTGCCGGTGGTCTGTGCCATGACATTCCCACCGGGCTGGGCCCCCAGACCCGTGACCGGAGCGAACTGCCCCGGATCCGACTCCTGCTCTGTCTTGGGAGGCTGCTGTGGGTGCATCAGGGGAAGAGCCTGGCTGGCCTCCCCCACAGGATTCCTGTCATCCTCTTTGTAGCTGCCCGCCACGTCCCCGTGCAGGAGGTAATTCCGCTCGGGGCCGAAGTGCTCCGCGCCGCTCCGCGTGTCCCCCAAAGAGTGGCTCTGCTCCGAGGAGGTGCTGCTCAGAGGCCCAGCCCGGCCTTCCCCCACAGCCAGGGCAGGCTGCTTGGTGATGGCCGAGCTCTCCAGGTCAGGGAAGGTGGAGTGACAGGCCTGCAGCAGATCCTCCATGCCCAGCCGCTCCGCCACCTCGTAGATGACGCCCACGTTGATGAGGTCGGTGAAGAGCTCCGAGGTGTACACAAAGCTCAGGATCTTCTCGAAGTTGGCTGGCGTGATGAAATCCACCACGTAGGTCCTGGCAGCGTCCAGCCCCGTGTTGAGGAAGAGGTTCTGGAAGTAGCCGGCGGCGCAGGCCAGCACGGCCTTGTGCGCGGCAAAGGAGCGGGAGCCCACCAGGATGGTGACGTCGCACATGGTCTCGGAGAGCCGGCACTTGTTGAGTTCCTTCAGCAGGTTGTTGGGGTGGTTGGTGCTGTGCAGCTTGATCCTCATGCCCATCTTAGCAGCTACTCAAGAGTCCCTTCTGGTCAGCTCGGCCTTCACGCTTTCATCCGCAGCAGGAGCAGGAACTGGCAGGGCAAGGGGCTCTGCAGAGGGAAAATGCAAAAAAAAAATGTTATTTAACAACCAAAGCAACACCATTCCGGTCATACCTCCCAGTTTCCACCTTTCTGAGGAGCCTCGGAGCACCTGCTCAGCTGGAGATGGACTAAAACTGTCTTATCACCTCACAGACCAACTTTTGGGAAGTAAAAGGCTGGATGTGCAAAGTAGTGAAGTCAAAACAAAAAGGCACTGACTCTCAGAGGCAGCCTGAAGGTCTGGGGCAGGGTCCTGCTGACTCTGAGACCCAACCAGAGCCTGTTCCCGACATCTCCTCTCTTCCTGAGCTGGGGATGAGGCTTCTCTCCAAAGAGATGTCACTCAGGCTGGACACACCAGCTGAATTTGCCTCTAGGTCTCCTTCAGCTGCAGCTGCTTCATTCCTTCACTTCGGATTCCACCTGTACCCACAAGGAGACTTCAGGCTCCCAGGTGGGATTCTCTGCATTCCAACCTTGTGGATTCCCCTGGGATTTCTTGTCCCTCCAAAGGAGCCTGCAGCACCTCTCAGATTCTCCCCCAGTGTCCTTCCAGCTTGTCCCACTGCCTTTGTCCCCCTGTCCTGCTCACGGACGCCCCAACAGCTTTTGGGATTTCACAAACTTACCCAGGGAGCTCTATCCTTAATTCCCCTACTCCTAATTCCTTGCCTGAGACGGGGAGCAGCGAGCCCAGAAGGCAGCAAAGAGCAGAGTTTGGGGGGAGCTGGAGCTGCCCCAGCCCCGGCACCAGAGGACGGGCTGTTCTCCCCCGGGATGCGGAGGGATGGGACAAACACCACTGGCAGCTGGAGAGGGCGAGGAGAAGGAGGAGGAGGAGGATGAAGATGCCGCGGGGAAAGCTCTGGAAGGGAAACGCTCCCCAGCCCAAAAAAGCACCTGAGGAGGGGATGGGGCAGGAGGGAGGAGAGCGGGAGAGGGGATGGGTGCCGGGGGCAGCGGGAAGGGGGGCGCGGGCGGGCAGGAGGCTCCGCGCCGGAGGCCCACGGGGAGTCCCGAAGCTGCTCCGGGAGAAACGGGAGGAGATGGGGGGGGAACAGCGGGGTCCCGGTGGGGCCCGGGGAGTGGGGGGGGGGCAGGAAGGGCCCCCGGGGGGAGCCACGAAAGGCGGCGGGGGGGCAGGGGGGGGGCGGCCGCGGG